CACATCTAAAGCCTCTCTCCATAAAGAAACATTGAATGCCCAAATAGGCGCGTATCCACACCGGTCGTTTTCCTATTACAGAAATCGGACAGATTTGTCATGATAAATATATTTTTAAACTCTCCAAGTTGAAATCGAGAAATGTAATCAAGGCTTCATTAGGGAGTTAAAATAGCGTGAAAAAATCCGACGGAGGAGTATGCCCCCCTCACCCCACTAGAAGATTGCGCCTTCGGTGTTCGTTTAGGAAATCGGTCAGTATTTATCCTAGATCCGCGCCTGCCCAAAAAGTAGGTATTCGCGTCGCTCAGGATGACGCACGTTCAGTAAAGTCTGTTCTTCAAGGGCAAGGTCCAGAGCTTAGCATAATTCATCTCAATCAGTGAACTGAACCTTGTTCTTCTTTTATTTATGACGCCTTTTTACATTTTCACAAGTTGTAAGGTTTCGAAAATGAACTTCTTTGAGAACATTAGACAATTGCAACTAGAAGTAAACTACAGAAGAACAGTTGAAGAGCTCAGGTACAAATTCACTGATCCACACTTATAGTACCAAATATACTTTAAGTTATCATAAGTTCTTTTTAGCGAAAGAAACCTAACTGATCAAGGTATGACTAGGTAGACAAAACAACAGAATCAGTGAAAAGAGCTAACCTGGGAGATGCAATCGGTGTGTATACCGCCGTCTTGTTCCACATGAAGTGATTTACCCTACCATGCATGCAAACCAACAATTCTCCTCCGCGGAATTACGGTATACTCGATGAACAATACTACGTCGGAAAGCGCGAGAATAATCTCACTAACCGTGGTAAGATTTACTGCGCCACTAGTGATGCACATACAAAAGTTAAACGACAAAATATGCGCATGATGACCACTTCCATGGCTGTGGTTAATCAATAAAAGAGTAAAACGCCCAGCTGTTGCACGTATCCACGTTCTGATGGAATGTAAGACCCAATCTGACATTACGCACGCTCTCGCCAGAGTCGTACCAAACAATCCCCAAGGGGGTGGGGTGGGTACTCCCTAAGCTCTATATTGAAGCCTATATCTTAACTGAAGACTTTTGTTCCACAAACAACGGTGACAACGTTGTGAACTTTCCCATTTTTATATAAACTTGACGTTACGTATATGCTAGTTAATCTCATTTCCAGGCACCTTGTCACTTTTGTATAAATAGGTCTGCTACCACATAATCTGCAACGGTCACTTTTGATCACTTTTGAAAATGTATTGACTAGCATCGGAAACGTTCAGTTAATGTAAAATGCGAAAGTTCACATGCTTATCATGATCATCGCTGTTTGTGTTTCTTTTTTTAAGCTTTAGCTATATAAATCATGTGTGTCGCTCCAAGAAGTACGTTTTATGATCCCGTTGACTTTTTAGATCTGAAACAACAACAACAGCAGTCATAACGTACTGTGAGAGAGACCCCGCGCGCGCCTCAACCTAATCCCCCAATCTTCTCTCACCCCCCCCAAAACACATAAATAGCGACTGGGCACGAGTCTGGTACTGTGATGTCGTTTAGTTTTTATTTAGCTTTTTGGTAAGCGAATTGTTAACTGAAAGGCTAGTCGTGGCCGAGGCCAAATTAATTAAGTAAAAGATAGATGTTATATACAATAAATGATACAGCAAAGTGGAAAAGAAAAGACAGGAAATATGTTAACACATCAGAAACCAAGAAAGATAAATCTGAATCAGGATGCAAACTATAAAGACGTTAAGGATCAGGGTAAGGGTAGGGCTTAGTAAAGTTTTTATATGGTCTCTGAAAACAGGGCTTTTCATTATTCATTTCATAAGAACAGTAGTTCATGTCTGGAGGGTTAGGCGGAAAATCATTTATATTTTGGTCTCATGAATTAATGTAAGAGTCAGTCAGGAACCATGGGATTTCTAATCAGTTCCACTTTATATACTACATATACTGAACTTCCGATTAGTGTTTTGCAACGTATATATTCCTGTAAATTTGTGATTTGTCCTAATAAACCTGATAAAGATTGGTATTGACCTGTGAAAATATCGTTCATTCCTTCAGTGTTTTCACTTTCAGTTTGATCAGTCCCTGCGAGAGTCGTTAATTGTCAGTAATTTATATTGCCAAGTGTCAGTAAATCAGTCGTTTTTGACCCGCAGTAACTCATCGCAAGTACTCATTTAAAAACCAGTATCAGCCCACCTGTTTTAAAACGCATATCTTTTCAAGCCATACTGAGCTATTTTCAGATTCAAACAGCAAAAAAATCATATCTCTTGATCGGCTAAGATGGCTAAGTAGCCCTCATTCTAAGTCTCTAGAGAACTCGTGAATTAACCGTCAAATTCGAAAATATTGATGCTACGAACCAGTTTCCTAGTTTGAGTGAATATCAGACAACTAAGGTTTGGGCAAAAAGCGAAGATTTGAGTTTGGGTATCTATAAAGGAAGGTGGAAGGATTCATATCGATTCCAGAAGAAAACTAGCAAAGAAAATAACGAATTTGCATGTATGAGAGGTTTAATAGCCCCGTGTAACTCGGTTTGTACTGTTTCTAGGTATTGATTGTGCCCCAAACTTGACAGAAACGAGTAAAGATGAAGTAAGAGTTTGAAGCTTCTTTCACCTCCCCTCGCACTTAAGCGGAGCAAGCAATGAAGAAAAATTACTCAAATAGATAAAAGCCTAGTTCTTTATAGAGTTTTCAGTGATATAAAGGCGGGGTGAGGATATGATCCTTTGTAAAGTAGTTTAAATTCATCACGTGTCCAGCATCGCCCTATGTTTCTTTGACTCGAAATTCCAATCAGCAAGACAGGTTTTGCTTCTATAAATTCCACCAATGAACGTAAAAGGGTTCTTGTTGCAAAAAAGGCTGACCGGAGAGTGATGGGAGACCATACAAAAATTTACCAAAATTTTAATTAGAGTGAGACTTGCACTAGTTTATGAAGACCAATCATTGTGAAAATGTTTCGATATCCAAATGCTGTGCAGCAGCAGACATTTAAAAAAAAACACAGGCGCTCTTGACCCATCATGGTACAACTATCTCTTTTTCTGTTGTCTTTGTCTTCTTTGTCCGCCATTTTGCTACTTTAAGGACTGCATGTCCATGAATTGCTTCACGTATATTTGCTCGACCTCCAATAGCCTTAGTGCTATAAATACTGCAGAGGGTCAAATAAAGGTTATTGTTATTATCAAGCCTCTTTTTCATGCAACTTTTACACTCTTTGTTGTTTCAAGGATGAGAGATGACGCGTTGTATTTCTTTATTGACAGCAATACAAGTACTCTGTAACTTTTGATAACTCGACCAGGAGTACCATTTGGGTTTTTAAAGATTTCTTATAACCACAGAGAGCAAATTAATCATCCTAAATAACTTTATTCCCACTTACACAAACGAAACATTTTAAAATACTGCAAGTTTTAACAAAGTGAAAATCAGCAACAGAAACCCGCAACTTTTAAGGTTCAAAGAAAATTCAAGGAAACTTTAGCTTGTGCCTTACCCAGGTGCTCAATTTGTAGTCGACAAATGCCAGTTGACAGCTTGCAATAAACTAGATTAATCAATTAATGAATTTTCTCCCCCAAAAAACAAACAAACAAATAAACAAGTTTAAATCGTGCTTTAGTTTCGGTGTGAAGATTGCGGGAGTCTGCTTATTCGCCTAGTGGAAAAACAACAAACGGCACGGTGCAAGGCACGTTCTTGAGTGACGCCACTATTCGCACAATTAAAGGAAACTAAAATGACACAGCAGAATCTGTGGCACTGTGAGGTTTACCGTAGAATGACTGTCTGGTGAACCCTATCGAAAACGACCAATCTTAAACGAGCCATGATTTTCCGCACGACGATAATTAATCTATGCTGACAAGAGAGGATAAAGCTCTTAACTGTTCAAAACAAAATTCAATAGCCATAACATTGATAGATTAGCTTAGATTGTGAACTTACGACGCCCTCGCAAGCCAAGCCAAAAAAAACAATAAACATTCACAGCTTTTCTTTTTTGGGGCATAAAACTTTAATTCGTGTAAGAACTTTAAACGTCAGCCTAACTCGGTGTAGCCTGCGAAAACAGCCGTTACTCTCCTCGCTCTTCGCCTCTGGGGACGTGATTCCTCGGGAAACGTCCTCAGCGGCGAAGAGCGAGGAGAAACGACTGTTTTCGCGGGCTATACTCGGTGAAATTGCAATCTTTTACCTCTTCCTTCGTGGACGAGGAAAGAAAAAATAGACAAATAATAAAAACATGTACTTCCGCAATCTTTTATCGGACAATAGGCTCTTTGCATGACTTGATCACGTGATCAACTTTCGGTAAGCACGAAAATAGTTCACTTGCGAAAAATTTGGTCAGCACAAGCTGAAAGAGCATATTAAAATTAGGTGACCTGAGCATTTTCAGCCGTGTATCTCAAAAGTAGCGATTGCAACGGCCGCCGAAAGTTGAAGCATTTGTATGAGAAAAACAACTTTTGCACCCAGTCACGATTGCATGGCCTTGTAATTTCGAAATTTTCAAAACTGTCATGAAATATTTCCTTAAGCATTACGGGCTCAAATCTCCTTTTAATTCATAAACGCAATTTGAGCGCTTAAATTCGTACTGGAAAGATTTAACGACAGTTTAAAAATTTTACAATTTACAAGGATTTGAATGGGAAACCATACAAGCGTGACTGCCTGTGGCAAAAGTTGTTTTTCTCGTGAATGTTTCTAACTTTCGGTGGCCGTTACAATCGCTACTTTTGAGATACACGGCTGAAAATGCTCATTTTAGTTAATTTTAATATGCCCTTTCAGCTTGTGCTAACAAAATTTTTCAAAAGTAAACTGTTTTCGTGTTTACCGAAAGTTGGTCACGTGACCAAGTCATGCAAACCCCACAGAAAGTACACCTCGTGTACTTTATATGACATATCTATCTGCATCACTAAGAGACCAACATGGCGTCTTGCCGATCAGTCAACTTTGAGTAGTTTCTTTAAAAGCAATGACAGCCGGACATCTAAAAGATCTTCCATACATAGGCTTCCTATTTGGCGTCATGACTCGTGCGGAACACTTCAAGACTTTTTCATTCTCTTGGAGCTGACGGAAAAATCCCTACGCAAGTTGATGAAAGTCACCTGACTAGCTGCGCTACAAAGATTTTGGAGGTCGATATTACTGACGCGGAATGCATTTATAGTGGGAGCGTTTGACTCCGGTAAAACGTAAGGCATTGAAAATATACAGCCCCATTTTCTAGCCTTAGTTGTAAATTGGGGGAAAGAAGCTGAAAGAAGGAAGCTTTGTTTTGTAGTTGTTTTCCAGTGTTATTCTTTTCCAGAACAATAGGTCCAATATCAATATCAAAAGTAATATCGCTCTCTGACAACTGGGATGTAAAGGGAGTTGTTATTTTGTTAATAATAATAATAATAATAATAATAATAATAATAATAATAATAATAATAATAATAATAGTAACAATAAAAGTTATAACAATAATAACAATAACCATAACAATAATAAGCTTAATGATAATAATATAATTATTGTTATTAGTAATGGTAACAGGACTGAGTGGAGTCCAATTCGGTCTGTAATCATACGAGTGATTAACAAAATCGGACGACCGTGTAGCGCGAGTCCGATTTGTTTAATCACAAGTATGATTACAGACTGAATTGGACGACACGAAGTTCTGTTACCAATTAATCATAACTGTAACAAAATTTGTGATATATAAAGCCCTTTTTTGAAATCAAAAGAGAAGAAATTCCAATTTTTTTTGCTAGTAGTGAAAAAAAAGCCATTCAAGTGCACACGTGATGGCGCGTACTGTCCAATTACTTAGGCATGACATGTACTGTTCTATTAAATTGTCCAATTAAGGCTGAAATCAGGGCAGTTGATAGCCAATCAGATTTGAGAATTTTGTTATAGTTATGATTATTATCATAACATGCATGCACCTCAATATAATGAAGGGGCAAAGGACTGGCAAAATTTGTTTGCTATACTGAGGTTTTGTTATATCCAGGTTCTTTTCAATAATTATTTGACTATTGCTGGGTTAAAGAAAATAATTTGTTATACTTAGGACTTATTATGGAGGTTAGTTATATCGAGGTTCCACTGTAGATTGCTTGCTACCTTTCTTTCCCTGTGGATGATCAATGTAATCTATGGAACAGCATTGTTGCTGTCATGGTTGTGACATGTTATGTATGTACAAAGGTCGATATGATTATATGCAGGGTTTTCGCCAATCTTGAAAAGTCCTTGAATTTTGGGGGAAATCCTTGAAAAGTCCTTAAATTTTCTACAACTTTAAATAATTGTAGTGGCCTGGAAAGTGTTTTTAAGACAGAATCCATCAGGAAATTGAGTAATTTTAATTTTCACTGGACATTTGTATAAAATTTTCTTGAAAGTACCCAATTTCGTGATGGATTCCGTCTTAATGCTTTTTGGTTGTCTAAAACAAAATATTAATCAGAGCTCAGAGAAGTTAAAGGTGATTTACATAAATGGTTTTTTGTTTTATTTGACAGTTAACTATCAATTTAAGATAAGTGAACTGAAAAATGTAGAGAAGGTGGTAAAGCAAAAACAGTTCAAGTCTTAAAGTCCTTTTCGAATGGACTGGGAATGTGCATTTTTGTACAATCTGTGAAAGAGGCCCTGCCAGGGTAAATTCTGACAAGTGACATGGCCCAAAAAGTAGCGACAGCACGTAAAATGAAGTCGCGACAAGAGACAACTTCTCTCGGCCAAATTGCGACAGTGACGGTAAAGCAGACAATAATCGACAAGCATTTATAAACACCAACATGAGACGTTTTAAAATTCAGACGGGCGACATGGGACCCCTCCTGGCAGGGCCTCATGAAAATACATTCAGGATAGGTGTCCTTTAAAATCGAATGTTTTCCTTAAAAAATCCTTAAAAAATGTTTGCAATTTTCTGTATGAACCCTGTATATGGATTATATGGATTATATGATTTCTGGATTTTGTTGTTTCCATGGAGTTAGAAATGGTTAAGAATGTCCAAGGATTCTAAGGATACTAACATACCAATGCTGGAGAAATGGGCAAGAGTTTTTGACAAAAGGTTAGAATTAAATAATATTATTGTTAACATTAGCATTAGGTTAGAGTTACTACTGGCAGGTGTGACCCACATTAAGCCCCCTAAGCCACTACCTTTGAAAATTCAGATAATTTAGCTACACCCCTCACTTGAGTTACAGTTTTATATCAAATGTTTTATTTATTAATTATTTCAAATTTACAAGTAAAGAATATCCACTGCCTACAGTAAGCAATTCGCTAGTTGAGGTGAGCAGTTGTTCTGACATTTATGAATGTCTTTATCAGAGACATTTTATATTTTCTATACTGAGACAAATATGATGAAAAAAATGGATAAAAAAAATTGTTTTATTGTGATTGTCTGAATTTTGACAATGCCACTTGGTATCTACATTCATTTGGTAGCGGCAAGGATTAAATAATGCTTTTAGGGACCTAGAAAAATTTTCCAATAAATCTGTAATAGTGAGAAACCATTATATAAATTATTGGAACATGTTTTTGGTTAAATATCTCTTTGAGTTTTGCCTGGTATTCAGGTGTTGCCCTTATTATCAGGGAGCCAGATTATCAAGTGACATGTTAGGAAGGTCATGGGGGTTGACTGTGTGGGGTTAATGGAGCTGCACTATAATGCTCTTATGATCATTAGCAGTTTCATTTTTCTTGCCTAGCAGTAAACATTTTTGTTATTTCCTATTTCTGAATTAAATTAATGTTGGTGTAATCTGTCTCTTCGTTTGCAGCCTTGCAACACCTGTGCCATCAACTGTAAGTAACTGAAAACTTGAATGTGATAAACTTTTAATAATGTTATTTTGTGTTGATTTCTCATGATCTCTTAAAAGTTACAAACATGGCAGCTTTAAGGTATTAAATAAGCTATGAAAACCTTCAAAAATTGAACTTTCCTGTATTTTGGAAAATCTAGTAAATCTAAACCTAAAAGTATCCTGTGAATTTTGTCTGGTAGTTGATTCTTTCGCCTTTCTCTGGAGTAACTCACCACTGAGTTAATTAAAGCCAACTAGATACACATTTCTCAGATTTCTTCTGTGTTTTGTAACATCATCTACAGAAATAGTTATCTGTGTTTTTTCATAGCTGTAAGTGTATTCGCATTAACTATTAAAACTTGCTTACATTTCAGCTAGCCTTAAAGAGATCCAGCACGTTAGAACTAGAAGATGTACAAGAAGATGTCAGTGACGACATTGATATGGGTGAGCTACAAGTCTCTGAGGTTCACTTTGCTTTAATAATTAGTTTTGATGATGATGATCATAATAATAATAATAATAATAATAATAATAATAGTGAATATAATGAGAATAATAATAGCAAACAGTAAGAGTGTTTTGGTAAGCTCAAAACACAGGGTGTAGCTGATTGTTTCTGGGCTTGATACATCATGAACCTGTGGTGAAAATTAATCAAAACCTTTCCTGTAGCTCTGTTTATTTGAAAATTCTTGGGTATTCATTGTCTTCCTTGAGGAAATTGAGGCTAAACAGGAAAGCTCATTATCAGCTGTACATACAGAGAATATAACTGCAAACCCAGCTCTTATGTTCCCAGCTTGTTTTTACTAGAGATTGGTCATGTGCTTACACCTCCAAAGCCTGCTTATAATTTCAAGACTGCTTCACGTGGTTGCTCACGCCATGACAGAGAACAGAGGAAAGTTCTGGAAGATAAACCGGTCAAACCAGTCAGATCTATCCATCCCAAACTAGTCAAACCTGTAAGGCAAGCGAGGGGAAAATATGAAACATTGGACAATAAAACCATTCAACCACAGAATGAAGCCCAACAGTCTATATCAGAAAAGTTGGTAAGTAAACGTGTAGTCCTGGTTCAAACGTGTAGTCCTGGTTCGAGTTGCAAGAAGACTAATTTTTGAAGGCGAGAGAAGGAAGGGGTTGTTTCTCCAAAGTCCGGCCCAAGAAAGCAATAATTTTGTTTAATGTTTTCACTGAAGCTTCGTTTTCTGGTTTGGAAGCTGCAATTAAATTCTAAGTTGACGACTATTATGTAAGCCTACCCTGGGTAACAGAGACTTTTCATGCGCGAAAGCATCCCGCCACACGCGAGAAATAAAACGCTGGAACCTAGGGTATTACCAACCAGCTTAGACTAAATATAAATACAATGTCTGATCATGATCTCACCGACAGTAATTTAAGGCCAAAATAAATTAACTACTAGAAGACCTTGCGCATGTAAGCAAACGGCTAGTTATGGCTACCCACCTGCTATCTTCATATCCGGCGGTGTCAGAAAATTGATGGTCATCGCATTTTGTGGATTGTGGCAAGTACACGTACTTTCTCTTTATAGTCACGAAACTTTCAGCCCAGAAACAGTTCAGTGTTCCCATCTTGTTCTCAGTTAACGTTGTACTCTGTCTAATCGCATATCTAAGTTGCCTTCAGAAAAACTCAGTCTCGCCAAATTCCTATGACTAAATTCCGCGATATCAATGAAGTAATGGCAACTCTTAGAGTTAAACTTGGGAAATTGTGGTCGAATACCCTGAGATGCCCGGATGATGTCTCCTTTTCATCGCAGGTTGCTGCAAAATCTGCAAGTTATCAACAAGAAGTTGTCAAGGAAGTGACACAAGAGCAATCAACAAGTAATTAACACAGATTCTTACAGTCAAATAGCATTAATTGCCCACTTTCAGACTTGTTACACGCTTTACAATAATCATGTATTTCCATACTTAACGAGTGGTGATTTTGGCTAAAGTATTTTCTATTTTGAGTTCATGTTTGGAGAGAAATTGAACCCATATATTTATTATGCCGAACACACTTTTGTGGTATGGATCAGGTAAGCAGTTTTTTTTTATTTGTCCCTAAGTAATCTTTTGCCAACTATCAGAGCCTGATAATTCCAGCTTTTTCCTTTAACCCTAGTGCCGGAATACCCAGTTCCCTTGGTTACTGCTTTCACCATCAGCCAATTACTGACTTTCTCGAAACACTCGCTTCCCTTAAAAGAAAACCTGTTTTCACTTAAACAACAGTTCATGCTCCTACGTGAAGCAAGTCTCTTGGTTTCTCTCTTTAAGTGGGTTCAAAACAGCGGGAGTCATTCTTTATTTTGTAACAAAGCCTTGCTGAAAAGTTCGACAACTTTTATGTAAATGTTCATTCAATTATTTCAAATCAGTTTTCGTGTTTCAATGTTAGAGCCAAATAGTACAGCTTTATAACAACTCCAGTACCTCTAGCTAATACAGCTACACAGGTTACCTGTGTTTCGGACAGTCGAATTGTGATACTCTGGTTAGTTTGTTGACAATTTAGAACCATCTTGTAAATCTTATAAAATAGTACCACAGAAATATCGTCCAACAGCGTTCATTCGAATGTTCATACCTTCGCTTTCGATAGAGCTACCGTATCTTAGAGTGGAAGAAAAGGAGCAAAAATGGTAAACAGCCAAAAAATGTACAAGAATGTTTGAAAGTCGAACCTCTCCTCTTTCTATAATCTTCCCTTGATATTTAGATGCACTTTGTACAGGGTAGTAAACAGTTCTTATAGACACGGATATTTGCCAGTGATTTGACTGACAACCTAATCTACCTGTATTTCAGCACTAGGCTGCAAAACTGAGGCCCCAATAAACAACACTATCTACCTATTACATATAAAAAAAGACGCGAGTGGAAGTACTGGTTACACTCAATCTGAGCTAGAACCGCGCACGTTAAGTTACCCTTCAGTTTTTATTTGAACTGTTTAATCACGATTTAATTACCTTCACTACAAGAATGCTGGATTTCAGGGTTATGTACAAACGATACTAACAACAACAGGCCGGAAGAATAAAACAAGATTGTCACAATCTAGGTCTACAATTATTATCGAATTGTCGTTTATTATTCTGGGAGTGGAAATCTTGCACAGAGTAGATTAGATGTCTAGTTACTTAGAAAGTGCCTCAAACCGACGTCTCCTTATTTTAATTATTAGAGTGTATAGGCGTGTCGATCGATTCGTTTTTAGCCTTTCAATTTACGTCAACTACTTTCCTTTCAGACATTGGTCCGCTTTTAACTCATGTGTCTCCAAATCGTTCAAAAGGGCAAAATTCCTCGCGATGCAGACAACGTTTAGAAAGAGAGCGTACAATAGAATCGGCTTCAGAACCAATTAAACCCGTCGTTCCTGGTGGAGAACCAATCACACTGGATTTCGCTAGGGTAAAGTAAAATCTTCTTTATTCTAAGAATGCTGAGAGTTCTTTTCGCTACCTTACACTCCTCACTTAAAGTGTCAAGCATTCGAAAGCTACTTCAGTTTTGTTTTGTAGATATTAAATGAACAGTAAACGACGAGTGAAAGAAAAAACCTTGGTCAAGTGGCGCAGTTTGCCGCAAACGTGATTCTAAATCTATTTCTTCGTTAATTTCCTTGTTTCAGTTTTTTCTGTTAACTGTCGCTTTTTGATTTTTTTTTCAGGCTCTTCGTGTCCTGTTGTTCGGTACACCGTACACATCTTTCAATTCAGACTGGAGAAAACAGCACATCAACTTCTTTACTAATATGTCTTATGCTTTAAGTTTTTACAAGGTAAATTTGATATGGAATTAGCTCTCGAGCTGTTTTTACCCTTGTTCGTGTTTACGTGCGGGTTAAAAAGACTGAGATAGCAATTAAACGTTTTCAGTTTTCCCAGCTCGTTTAAGCCTGGATACCTCAGATCATGCTAAAAAATGTGTATGTACTGGTAATCGCAAACTTCATAAGAAAAGCCATTCACTGTTCAGAAAGGCAGACTAGCGGAGGAGTTTGGACACGGTCCGAAATGCATCTCGGTAGGACTAATCAACCAATCATATCGCCGGATTTTTTCGTTGTATATTTCAGAGGGAATAAACAGACGCAAGAAATCACGGGTTTATTTGCTTTTATTTCAAGATGTGCAATATTTTCTGGCTATTGCGCAAGAGTGTCCCCTTTGGAAAATCATTTGTATCTGATTTTACTAACTTTATGTTGTTGTTACTGTACCTACCTCAGGCGGGTCCTGATGGGGTGATGGCTTGTTTACAGGGATACCTCTTAAGATACTTACTATACGAACAACCCACCCTGGATCATGTAAAGAGGTAAGCACATAGCCTGCGAGAGAGCGCGCGAGCGAGCCGCGATGCCGCCTCTCGCTCTTGTGTCTCCTTGCGCGTGCCACTCACGCGTGACTCCTCGCGACTCCCCCAAATGGAGAGCTTGTTCATAGTCAAGTAAACACAAGGGACGTCTTTTTCCTGGCTCGTTTGCGCGTTAGAGCGTGAAATTAAACCGTCGAAACAGGGCAGTATGTTACTAGGCCTAAGGGGCTGCGTTTATTTTGAGCCATTCTTAGATGGGCCATTTTTAGATATCATGGCTCCATCACTTAGGCTTACGACGACAGTTGGTGTCTCGATGACAGCACCAGAAGGTTACATAGCTTATTCGTTAGAACAGTGAAACACTTTGTAATGTTATCTTTCTTCCAGTATATCTCGATAGACTCCTCACTTGAGAGATTCTTGTTCATCCTTGCAGCATGTTGGCACCCATGTCATCCGACCGACAGAAGGCTCTGATCACAGCTATCGCGAAAATGCTTTGGCAGGCTGGAGGACAAGAACAAGCAATAGTAGTCCTGTGAGTGCACGTAAAACCAAACCGTTATCTGTTTAGATAGAAAGCTCTCATTTTGTTACATGCGTCACACAGGACAGTAAATTTACAGAGAAAGTCTTGCTCGCTAGAACCAACATTTCCTACGTGCGTATCGTTCATTGCTCATCTCTTGGTTCTTTCGCTCGGTTACAGCTCAGGCTTCGCGCTTGGCTTAATGAAGCCTTCTGTAACGCGGTTCCTATTGCCAGGATAAACTAACTATACTACGAAACTGGTGTGTAGCCTGCCTGCCAGAGGCTCTCCCGGTTGTAGGCAGGGAGATAGAAAGGGTAAGGTTGGGGTTAGGGTACTGTGATATAAGAGACCTTTGAATCAAGGTGTCTCTGTCAGTTTCTCTCGCCTACGGGGCGCCTCAGCCACGCGCCGAGACAGCTTGCGCGCTGTAAGTGAATAGCTGCGAAAACGTGGTTACTTTTATATAGGTTGTCTAGGAAACAAAAATAATTTGGACTTAACCTTACAACACATTCCTGCATTCAAGGTGCAAATATTCCCACGTGAATTAGATTCATGTAGCTGATATCATTCGCAAGAAGACGTTGGTATACAAATTTTGATTCGCCCACACGAGAAACCAAATTACCATTGATGCTTTTTTGAAAACCATTGTTGTAATATGGTTATCTTGGTTTGTAGACCTTGCGGTGAATGTAACTGGATAACAATGGATGATTACAGAGAAGATCAGCTTACTGAAAGGGTAAGTGATCAAACCTTCGTAATAGGCGCTACGGAAAGGGAAGCAGGAGTCTTGTACCAGCGTGATGTGTGGAGAACGATTTAAGGGCGGCGCTCACTGCGCAGACGATTTGTGCATCATGGAAGGGTCTTAGAATCTCTAAACAGTGTCCGCCGTTCTAGTTAAACCCTTTCACTCCTAATACTGGCCGAGGTGAAGAAGTTCTCAAAAAATTCCAAACATCGTTTGTAAAATCCTAAGAAATAAAAAATACCATGCAAAAGCTCTTACAGAGAGGTTTTATTTGAATGGTAATAACATAGGATTTTTTCCTTAGACTCAAAATTTAGAGTGACGCATCATCTTACCATTTCTAGTAATAGAGGTGAGAGAATTTAGAGTACAGACAAACCATTGAAATTCGCTTGGGACCTAACATGCAACACATGTATCATCCGGGCCCAGCAGTCAGTACTGATGGGCAACATTTACCACAAAAATGTTACAAGAGAGACATCTGTCTAGACTTTCCCCCACCCTTTGGCGGCACTAATTTTACGCTTTCCTCTCAGCTGTGATTTGTGCGTTGTGTTTTTTTGAAATGGCAAGCGTGATACTATTTGATTTCAGTCTGTGATAATCTCTGTAGAAAGCAGGTTATTTGACCATTCATTTCCATGTGTTCCCTTATAGCTTCACCTGTTTCGATTCACTGACTCAGCTGACCTCGAAAAATTCATAAAGAAGCAATTAACTTTTGTAAGTATATAAGAACTAGACTACGAGCGTTAGATTTGTATGGGCGTTTATAATGGCGAGCTGAAGTCGAGCTATCGTAAACGCCGACCGTAAATGATTTGAACAAATAATTCTGTTTCCACTGTTTCCCTCTGGCAATTCTCTCTTTTAGTTTGAAAGCACAAACGGGAATGGCTGCATTCTGCTGTTATATTCAGTAATTTTATCAAGAACCGTCGAACGGTAAGCTCATATTTTATAATCCGTTTTTCTTGCCCATACGCAATTTTAGCACAGGAGAACCAACAAGGATGGACGGCTTACACAGTGCTATAATTGTGCTTCCATTATTTAGACCAGGAGTCCGTTTCTCGGTAGTGTTTGTTCGGGCCGAGAAGATTAAATTCAAAATGTCGGTTTTTTAAAGCCAAGCAAGAAAATTCTAGCTATTTTAAACAAACCGGTCCGTATCGAGGTTTAACAATACAGTTTTAAAAACTGCGAGTGAGCAGACGTCTTTGGGAAACTTGCATTGGAGATGTGTCCACCTTATGGAGGTTAAAAAATTTAATGCTTATATCTGTGGCTGGGACCATGACTAAGGGCTTCCTTAGGGGCGGAGGTGTACGTCAGTTAGCGGAGATTCGACCACACATGCGCACTACTGGCATCATTCTCGTCCCCAAAGCTGCGATCCTTGTGGTCAGCGCAACGGATCGGGAGCCGTGGCCCGACTAAAAGATCTGGGGAAGAGAATGGTATTACACGAAACTGGGTTGGTGTTGTGTCGTAAAAATGACGTAAGATTGGAACGAAATTAACAACAATATTTCAACAACAGTAACCAGCCTAAGGCGGTCTGTGAAAAGACCTGCTCACACACGGAAATTATTTTTGTAGAGTGAGAGAGGATCTTGGTGACCCAAAAGCAACTCTCATAGGACTTCATGATACATGTACACAGGTACGTGTTTAGCCTTTTTTTTCGTAATAAAACTCTTTACAGGCCATTTGGGCTCTAACTAGGTACAGGATTTGAACTTCCCCATAAAATGAAGAGCCGTGCACTCACAGAACATCTCGTGTTCATTTATAAGTTCCTGCCGACATGCAATGCTGACAATTGTATTCGATCGCATATAAATCGGTGGATTTTTTTTACCACTGGAGCAATAATTCCCTTCTCTGAACGTGGAAACAAACGCAGATCAAATAAGATAAATTTTGCTTCATTATTTTTCTTCGTTAAGGTCACGTGCGTGAAACCTAGGTAGATTTCGCGCTCTTACAGCGAATGCAGATAATACGAGGCATTGATTTAAATTATCAAAATTCGAAGTAGAAAGTTGTAGCGGGAGTACCGTTTACATAGAAACACGTAGCATGCGGGTCGGCGGCAAGACTAGCTCAATCGTTAGAGCGCTCGACTGCAGAGGTCGCGGTTTCGATGCGAAGAGCCGGGCCAACACTCAGGTCCTAAAATAAATGAGAAATAAAAGTACGTCCTTTGCCCTGCAAACGGGTAGACCTTCCCGTGGTGGTCCTTTATCGAGTAGGAATCGAATGAATAGTGTCCTCAATACCTAATGACTTTCAAATAAAGTGCGGTTTTCGTAGCCAAGAGATTGGTGCGATGAAGACCTGTTTGGTAGAGAAAAGGGTGCTTATTTCCCTTGCCGTCGATGGGCGTGGTGACTCAACTAAGGTAATCGTAAATTATGCCTTGTTTTACACAGGCGATGATAAACCTGCTGCTCACAGGCAGAGCTGTACCAAACGTATTCAATGGTGATATTGAGTACCACAAAAATGGTCGAAAGATGGTAGGTTACTTTTTCATTTACTTTGTCATTGGCCAGTTAGAAGTCGCGTTTGAAACTGGGTCGGTGTTGTGTCGAATTGCACCATGGGACTGTTCTGTAGTACGCCAATTTGGATCAAGTTTCCTGTGAAACCAAAGGAGCGATAGCATTACAAGAACAGTCTTATACGGTAGTGCAGTCTGATTCAAACCGAACCAGTGTCGATGCTCATCTTTAACATAGAGACCTTTAGATTCGAGGACGAGATTTGACTAAAGCTATTTTCGCGTATTGTCAAAAAATACCCCCCTCCCCCTTCTTCCCCCGAAGGTTTCATTTTATCTTTTTAACCAGAAAAGTTAGCACGGTTAACCCCTTAATAGAATGACAGCGACTAGTATGTTTTCCCGCCAAAATGATGCTGGTTCACGCGCGCGCACTACTTAGTACTTACAAAATGTCGTCCTCGTATTCGTCCCTGTCTTAAATCCTAAGGTCTCTATAAGTGAGAAATTGTTCCAGCGTTTCTGAATAATATCGCACGCGAATATAATGGGTGGACAAGTGGATTTTTCGAAGCAGTCAAAACTCGACGTAAAAAGTAAAGGTGCGACTTTTTTTTCCTTCATTAAAATGGTACCTCACTGAAGGTGTTAAACTTTTGAATGGTGGCGTTTTTATTTATTTATTTATATTGTTTTTTTCTTCATTAGTCTCATCCATTAACTGGCATCAAAGATCGAAATGAAATTGGTTTCTTGTCCACTGAAGAGTATCACGATCCTAGATCGTTCCAGGTAATGAAAGTCGGGTAAACTCTAAGATTTAAAAAGAAGTTGCCACTGCGCCAGCAGCAAGAACGGCAAAAAGAAGAAGATAAGGATGTATTAGTAAAACAAAGCCCCCCGCTCGTGCGTTTGACATCTTGATACATGTACATTTCTTAACCGTTCCCTGCGAAATTTGAACAAACTAACATCATCAGTCAAAAAGGGGGACTCTTGATAGTTCCTTGAACTGATTAATCTGTGGCCCTCTAAGGAAACAACTGACATAACAAATCAACTGTTAAAAAATAATAATAATAAAAAAATACACGAAATATTGGAAGTCGAAATCGGTCTGTTTCACTGTTCAAGTTTTCATGACTCGCCATTTTGAGTTCATGTGACGTCATTGGCTCCCATTTTGTCAGGAAACAACGTTCTTTTTTATGGAATAATTGCAAAAACTAAATGCGGTCATCAAATTTACACTGTTGACGGGCGGAAAATGTTCATTAGTTATTAATCATTGCACTTTAGTAACAGCTTTTTGTATTGACCGCTGGTTGAATAGGTTGGTAGCATGCTCAAGACTCCCAAGTTTCCAGTATGGGTTGTAAAAACTGGTGAACGATATGGAGTAATGTTCTCTCTCAACAAGGACCTCGTCAACGATTGGTCAGTAATGTTTATATATTATATCCTATTCTTTGTCTTTCTCGGGTCCTACTTCAGCCGCCATGGTTGACTGTTTTTGTGCTTTTTCTTTGCAGGAGGCTAGAGAGAAGATTTGACTTATTTCACTGCACTGGTTCTTCCAAGCGAAACAGTACTGCAGATGAATCATGTGTATTCGTTGTTGGTAAGACAACTTTTTTTGTTCTTGAACCTAAAGCTGATCCGCTGCCTCGTTTGAGAAATAGAGGGCGTGAAATACGAGCGGCCGGGATGTAAAGGTATTCATGATTCCCAGACAAACGTTTAACTAATAGAGGGAGTTGAAATAATCATCGCACTGAAGTCGAAAAGGATGCAAATTTACTTTTTAAGTAACGTTTAGTCGCTTATTTTCCTCTCAGATACAAGAGACTTGTTCAATCCTGATGAGGAGTTCGGTGAAGAACCAAGTGATGCGGAATATTGTATAAAAACAAAGTGAGTTAACTAGCCCTCTGCTATTACCGAAAAAGTATTTGTAGAGTTGGTAGGGAATACCTTATTATAGGAAATTAACTCCTCATAAAATAAAAGCGAATTTTAAAATTTTAACGTTGAATTACCGCGCCGTTAATTAAGTGGAGAGTTAATTTCCGGGACCTTAATTCCATTATTTTGGCCCCAAATTCTCAATACACTTCTGGCCCCGATTGTTTAATAGTTGGATAGCGCTTTCCACAGGATAAATTCAGTGGATATAAGTATTAATAAAAGTCGCGTTAATTTCCAATATCTTAATGTCGTGGAGAATTTACAATTTCCTATGATAAGGTAGATTCGAATACTTTCAAGGGACAAGGGATATATCATATTTCGGAAGAACGGCCAGAGGAATATTATTAAAATTGCTCATCTCTCTTTCCCTGTCTTGTTTGCACTCTGATTCCTGTTTTATAAAGCACTGTTAAAATCTACGTTAGGTGAGTAAAGCATAAATAAATCTTCTTATATTGCAGTTCTCGCACCGTTTTCTGTCAAAAAGCCGGAATGGTTATGAACTCTGACGCAGTGCAATTTACTGACAATAATTTCGTTGTTATGAAATACAGTAATGTGGATTTTTTTTTTGCTGTCATTCCTTCTACGTAGGTGGCCAGGAGCGTTGATTGAGTTAAAAGAAGAGAAGAGCTGACAAAGGAAAATAACGAACAACAACTGGGAATCTGGATTCAGGGACGTTAATGAAACTGCGATGCTCATAAATTATAACCCGCTCTTTCCCAAGGTTTCTCCGTTTGGCAGAGAGGGCCTGGAAATGGCGCGAAGAACAACGTTCAGCGGTTTCTCTTCTTGCAAAGAAAACCTGGAAATGAGGCAAAATAATGAAATTCTTCGCCCTGCGGGTGTTATTTTTATTTTTATAATTGCACATAATTATTTACATTTTGTAGCGTTTGCCTTTGACAATTGGAAAATTAACAGCAAAAGTCAGCGGGTACCTGCGTTTTTGTGTGATTTAAATTAACTGGTCTTTTTGACCAAGGCATAAACAAATAGGGAAGCCAATAACAAGTTTGTGAGCCGGTTCACTTGTTGTCACGGCTGAAACCTCTGGCAGGACACTGGAAATCAGCCCTAAGGGTGGATTTCCACTGTAGCGTAATTTTTAGGTGCTTTCGCGCGTAAAATTTACGTGCGTAAATAAAATAGAGGTAAAGTATGTAATGAAAGGTCGTAAAGGTTTAGTGAGGTTCAGGTTTTACGTTTATGCGCGCCGCTATATACATTGCCTCTATTTTGTTTCCGCACGTAAAATTTACGCGCGTAAGCACCTAAATTATGCGACAGTGGAAATCAACCCTAACGGCTAACCCGCTTCCCGGATGTATGCCCGCAATTTTAGCGGATTGGGGAGAAAGTGTGTTAAGTATAAAGCTGGTCTTGGAATAAATTTCAGGACGTTTTGAGTTCTTGAAATCACTAAAGCCAGTTAGTGTGCAAATTTTTATGCGATGTCTGTAGTTTAAACGAACAGGGGTGATTTCAGATCGTAACGACAACCGTCCCTCTTTGTCAAATTTTGGCTGTTATAGATTTCACTTGTTTCACGATGGACATGTAATTCAGTTTTAGTTGGCCGCACGTAAAACCCACGTGGTTGATGTTGGCCAATCTGATATGGCTCTTAACTGCAAACAAACATGAAACTTAAACTAACGAACTCTTTTGACATGTTCATATTATCTAACAAGGGTTAATAAAGATTGAGTTAATTTGTGTGTCTGTCAAATAAACAAAGCCTAGTTTTCTGAAACAGGCCGATATTTTATTGAGAATCGGAGATAACTTTGTTTTGATTTGACTTGACTACTGGCTTTCCGAACATGTTTGAAAAGGCCAACATTTGTAACTGACCAAGACATACGAATGGTGGGCATTAAGAAATATAACAAGTAGTCCGCACTTGCTAGTTTTTGGCAGTAGTACTAAATATTTGTTGTAGAAAAACTTGAGAGCAAGAACTTTTTGTAACACAGTATATTTTTTTTGCATGCAAATTTGTATTTCTTAAAGAAAAATGTCATGTTTCTCAAAGAGGCAAAAAGTTTACCCCTACTAAACAAGCATAGCCGGCTTGTACAAAATTTGTACAAAAAGTGAGAAAGAAAAGTTCAGTTTTGAATCGCTGGCCGTCTTTAAAGAAAAGTTTTAAGTAAAGTTTTACCCTGGGCTCGGCTTGAGACCTATTTATAACCCACGCAAGTATGTAGGAAGCCGTGAGAGAGATCGTCCTCGGATATCTAAGTAATCGTACGCCGCCGAAACATCTTCGCCGTTTGCCATAAGGTGGAGATCAAACTCCGCCTTTGGAAACCGGTCGTTTCGGTACAAGTCGTTTGGATACGAACTCAGAAGTGAAATTGCACAAGAATTTCCATCACTTCAAGTAAGGTTTGCAGTTGAACAAGAAAAACACTTTGGGTAAATATTCTTCGTTCTTTAAGCCTAGTAAGAAACTATTTACACCTCGAAGGAATTAACTTGTATCGAAACGACTTAATTGTATCGAAACGACCAGTAACCCCGCCTTTAAGTAACGTGGTTCAGAAATACAGGGAACAGTGAGAGTGTAGTGTAGGATGAGCTGTGTTCCAGCCATGAGATGATTCGGCAGTTCCCGTCGGATTAGTTTATTGAGGATTACAATGCCATCAGTGAAACAAGCGGTCCGCTAAACATATAGTACCGCTTCATTCAGTTGTCAGTAACAGAAATTGGAAGGAAACTTTTGTGATTCACTGTCGTTCGTGTCCGCATAATATGAACTCTTCTGTGCATTTGTATTTCCAAGTTACTCGGAGTAGTCGTTGTAAACAACACGATTTATGCCGCGATCGTATTCGGTTGTAATTCCCCTGAAATGTAACGAAAATCCCAAACAATGCCAGGCAGTTAGCACTATTTAGGTAAGCTTTATTTATCTTAAATTTCCTCGAAGATTCGCGAACATTGAAGTGACCTTAAGAGAAACTCCTATTTGAGATCCTTTAGTGCACCTCATCCGTCTTCTTAATATGCCTTCGTCGCATCGAAAACGATACGCGAACAGTCCGGGTCCAAACTTATACTTATCAGAAAGTAGCCGAGCATAGGTAAACATTTGGGTTACCGGTAGTTGTCAAAACGGTGTCTAATTAAATGATTGGAAAGTACTTAATTCAAACATCAGGAACTCGTTTCAAAGGTAACATGGGTGTTCACGGAGAACAAGTCAATGAACATCATAAGAGGAAACTTTTCAGGTTGTAATGCTTTGTAGTTTGCTATTTTCCCTGCTCATACGTAGGTAAGGGCAGCTGTTATTATAAACGTTTTGGTCATTCCACAAAAGTAAACTCCTGGTTTCTTTTGATAGAAATACATGACACTTTTTTATGATATAAACAGTTGGTGTCTTACAAAATTTTTTGTCAGGCTTCGAATCAGATTAAGTTTCAAGAGAGGTTAGTTATAAATGTAGCGCTATAAAAAAGAAACATGTGGTCTTTCTAAGTACTAAGGTTAAAAGTTACAGGTTAGAAATGACCAAAAGGGGTTTGAATTAGTGAATTGAAAAAGTATTCATCTTCTTTTCTTTAAAGAAATCGCCCAATTTTAAGGAAAACGACGATACAACGGGTGAAATCGATTCAAGCGAACCCCAGGCAATTTAATCATGTGTCAGGCGTGCTGAGAGAAAATCTCCGGTGCTTAACCGAACAATTTTCAATACCTTCGCGGGTATGAATCTTCATCTCGTTCACGCTGATCCTTTTGGTGGCCTGTCAGTTGCCAGCGCCTGCAGCCATTGGGTGCGGTCAGCTATGATCTCAACATATTGAGAACATTGAATTTGAAAAGTAAAAAGGGAATTTTAGAATCTGAATCCAAGAGAGGCAGATGAACTACATTCTCTCTTGCTATAAACGTAACACAATAAATAACGACGGTTTTGTTGGCTTACGTGGTCCGTAACTTGCTATGAGTTTTCTCTGTTCCTGTTTTGATACTAAGCAACGCAAAGGACATCGAAGTTCAACCTGCTTCCCGTGATATTGGCCAGCAAAGAAAACGTTTCCTTGGCAAAACCTGTTAGTGAAAGTGAAAGCTTCCAACACGAATCATGATACCTGTAGCCACTAGAACTTATTTCGGTTAACGCGACAGATGAGAGGCGGGATAATTTTAATTCAACCCGTGGAGTAAGGTATAAAGGATCTCGCGTGGTGCACTGTGAAACACGCGTGGTCTCCTCTAATACGGCACTAAGAGAGCTCATCCACAGCCGCCAGACAAACTGGGATCTACTTAGGTTTCTGGAAAACTGCCCACCTACCCCTCCCCTAAGCCATCATTTTGCTCAAAGTGAGAGGTAAGTGTTAATGTTAGCTTAGGGGAGGGGTAGGTGGGCAGTATTTCGGAGTAACCGTTTTTTGACTGTTGAATTATTCTACCCCATTTATAGCTTGTAATTTTGCTTTCTTAATTTCAAGACATATAGATCCAAATGAAAATTAACGTTTAATAGCAATATTGATGCAACAAATTCAAACAATGAACGTTCATCTAGTCGATTGCGCAAAATTGTCTGCAGTACGTCATAACCGTTTGAAAAGAGGAGAGTGGCAGTTAATGCAAAAACAAGTGGGGCAGAGGTGAAGTGGATGATTTCCTGATCCCCTCCCCCCCCCCCACCCCGCCCACCAGGGAAACTATAACACGAGCGAGGGTTTAGATAATGAGATTCTACTGAACATGTACCTTCCATGAATCCATATGATAGAAAGTACTTTTCATGATCAGTTAGTAATGAAAGAGTATTAATAGATATTGGAACATGATATATAAATGAAATAAGGTTAGCTTTTAGGTCGCCGGTGTAACTAAACTGCCATAATCAAAGATGCTATTTTCACCGGATATGTGTTTTTCTTCAAAGATTTTACCTGTGCCATGATGAGTTCAGTATCTAGCCATTAAGTTTGACAGCGAGCCGAGCCAGGCTCAGACGCGGGTAATTCATGGTAACAGGTTAGCCATTGTTTGTACCTAAATAGATCGAAACTTTTCAAGGTAAAACTCGGATCAGCCTCAAGAAACTACGAATAGAATCACCGAAGTTGTCGGAAAAGAATTTTAAAGATTTTACACAAATCCGCGTGAAAGCAAGGCTATTACGCTGCCGTAGAGTAGAAAACTAGTTTAGTACAGCTATCTGACAAAATATTTTTTGTGACACTATTACTATTATTACTAGCTTAGCCTGTTACTGAACAGGCTAAACTAGTTTTAAGATGAATAAGCCGACTGAATATTTAATGGACGAAAGGAAAAGTGCGATTACAACATTTTCTTGGAATGAAACATTTGAACAGCACATTAAGTGGCGCGTGCTTTCATAACAGTTAAACGGGTGAAACTGACACAAATTTCACGGAACACATGTTGAAACCACGAGGCTAGTGGGTTGGCCAACTCACTGTCAAAAGTCTGGTTCCTGAGTAAACATGCATTTTCAGAAATACTTGAAACGTGGTAAAAGCTTTTGGATTTTGAATTTTTGATGAGCTTTTTGATATCACTTTCCTTGCTTTACGTTTATTTAGACGCCTTTTCCACTCTGAAATGTCTCTTACGAAATATCCACATGAGTTGCCATTTTTATTTTGAAATGCTCGTGTGAAAAACCTAAAAAATCATTTACGGGACCACTAAACGTTTAATTAACCACGAGGTTAATTAAATTTGATTCTTGGAGTGCCTTCGAAATGCTGTCCAAATTTGGGGGAACTGTAATCCCACTTCAAGTCTACGGGTCTACTTTTCCCAACCTACGTCCCCGGGGGCGTGGGGTACTCAACAAATGTTTAAACGGGGAGGCTCCGCCCCGAGGTCCAACCCCCCTTATCCTTTTATATACCATTTTTCACGAAAAAGGTACCCCTTTCGTATACCTTCTATTGAAAAACGGTACCCCTTTCACGTAAAAGTGTTGTTAAGTATCTTCCCATTTAATTTAGTTCTCTATTTGATGGTTAGCAACACAATGTAGGAATTTACACGATGACTATCTCTAATAACAAATGAACTCACACAGCTGTGGGGCATGGAGGTCTTTAACCCTTTAAACCCTAAGATCAAAATTTGAATTCTCATTTGTTGACCCTATTCATTTCCTATAGAGTAGTGGCGAGAACTTGATAAATTATCTAGCAAATTCATCTTGTGTGATCATGTCCATAATTCTCATGACCACTCTGTTTTACAAAGCATTGATATTACAAGGAGAAATTTGATGCTGATCACTTTTATGGCTTAACTTACGTGGCCTGTAGCTATGCAAATTTATTAGAACAAAAGAAAGTTTTTGGATACGGCTGGATTGGGACGACACCAAAATGGCCGCCGTTTCACCAATATGGCGGACGCGACGTCACATGTGCACCTGCATTAGCGTCTAAAGAGAATACAAGGCGGACTCAAGAGCTTATCTTATCTTTTATTTGATTCAGTTGGTTCTCTCCCTTGTTCCGAGAGGTTTTTCTCCGGGTACTCCGGTTTTCCCCTCTCCTTAAAAAACCATCACTTTCAAATTCCAATTCGATCTGGAAAGCACGGACTCGTTTCAACGAGTTCTTATGAACTCCTTAGTGATCCGTGGGTAAACAAATTACAATTTACAATTTACAAAAAAAAAAACGCGAGAGGGCTGGGAGTTTTCTGTCTTGACTGACCTGCTGATACATCACACACTTGGCTGAAAGTTCTTCTATTAACTGTCACCAGTTAAACGACACTTCAGCGTGTGGCAGGGTTTTGACATGCGAGCAACATCACGTAAAGCTTATTCTAAGAACAAGGCATTTCCAATCACTAGCTTAGAAATGCATGCCAAAACACAGGCAGCGCTGCAGCTTTTATACCCCGGTTTTGATCAAAGTTTTCATAAACATGACTAAAGGAATACACACAAGGGGCAATTTTTTCTCTTTCTTGTCAGCTAAACTTTTGTCGTTGTGTCTTGGCAATCGCCTCCAGGTTTTTTACTCGATGAACATATAAGTAGAGAGATTCGTGTAAGAATCAGGATACTTGGTTATAATTTTAACAAACTGATGACAGAACCCATTGCAGCTGCTAACAGACCGTTAGTCGATGCATATACAACTTCTCCCTACTGATCTCCATACATTTCCTTTAAGAATTATTTGAGAGAATTAAAGATCGAAGCATTCTCTCTTTGCTGGTCATTTTATTTATTCTCATTTCCTTTTTTCTTGATGATGTATTAATAGAAGAGTGATTTAAAATATCATCAGGAGAGAATTGATGTTGGTCACTCTTGGGGGAAAAACAGGTTATCCACTGTTCAGGATTACGTTTAATTGTGATTGGTTGGCAGCTTCACAAGGATTTTTTTCTGTCCATCACACGCCAAAATAATTTTGCAACCAAAAACTCCCCATTTCTTGGCTACTAAGGAGATGGACGCTTAATAAAGCAATGAACAAACTTAAAACAATGAGCTGAATAAACGTTTTTTAATGGAGACTAAACAAACTGAAGCAGTTGTTTACTGTGATATAGGCTATTTATGTTTCTTTTCTTTCGTTCCGTCCATCACTACTCGCTTCTCGCCACTATCAGAACGCCTGGAACATTTTGCCTTATAATGGAATAAACATGTTTTAAAATATCAAACTCTGAAGGGTATGAGTGTAACAATACAGGGGCGGATCCAGGATTTTTTTTAGGAGGGGGTGCACTCCGTCTCTTGCTCTATTTCAACACCAATAAACCACATAGTTTTTTTTTTTTTGCAGAATACCAGTTGTATTAGAAAACCGCAGGTAATCTCAGGGGAGGGTGCGCACCCCCTGCACCCTCCCCCTAGATCCGCCCCTGCAATATATTTTTCTCTGGGCGTAAAACTTAACAAATGTTGTGTAATATACTTTCAACTGATAGTTTGAAATGACAGTTATGCGTACACAGATCCTTAATGTCATGTTTGCTGTGTTTTGCAGGGCAGTTCATTCCACAACTGTGATCACTCAATAATTCAAACTAAAAAAAATGCCAAATAGTTTCCTTTGCAGGCAATATGTTAACGATCTCCTATGTACAATATGAAGTGAAAAAGTAACTATTTTATTTACCAGATAGTTAAATCGCTAAGTTTTGGCTTTAAAATGTCATTATTTGTGAAAGCCTATTGCTTTTCTTGACCCATGAAGCTTTGTCATTGTCCGGGTGTTCATTGGCCACGTGGTTCATGTATTCTGATTGGTTGTCTTTAAACGTGGCGCCACATTGCTCACACACGAACATTTTGGCGCGCCTTTCACGGAAGCCAAATTTGTGAACAATGCCATGGACACGTGACTGGTGAGCCTCCAATGAGCAACGTTGTGTGAATGACTTGTCACATCGGTCACATTTAAAGGGCTTTATACCAGTGTGTGTTCTTACATGACGCTTTAAGTCAAAAGTGTCATTAAAGCCTTTCTCACAATAGGAGCATGAGTAGCGCTTGTAAAATGAATGGCTTTTAAGATGACGGTTAAGGTGGCGCCGAAGTGCAAACGTGCTATTACAGACCTCACATCTGTGGTGATGGGTTGAGTTAAAGGTTTCTTTGGCCTTCGACGAGCTTACTTGAGATTTGTCAGCCATGCTTCTGAGGTGACTTGCAACAGCCAAGTCATCCGACAATGTCCAAAACCGCGGTGGACTGGAGCGGGTTACAGCAGAGAGCTTGGAATGAACGTTAGATGTTTTAGTTTCCTTGTTAAGTAGCCAAACAGTTGGGTGGTTAGAAAACACCTTTCCGCCTGGATTTTTAACAGCACATTTTTTCTCGTCTTGTTGAAGTCGAGAAGATTCAAGGCGTTCATTGTTGTCTATCACTGCTACATTTGTCCAGTTCTGCTCAGGGGATCTGACTGGACTAACCAGTCTGCCAGAATCTTTCTTTCCGGAAGAGCTAACGGTTTTTTCCACAGGCGCACTCCGAAAATCAAATGCCTTAAATGCGTTCTCTTTCTTGAAATCACTTGAGTTCTCAGAAAGGTCAACAATACTCAGAGATTTCCCTTCATTCCGTTTTGCCTCAAAAGATAGTTTTAAGCTTGTTTGCTGTTCTCTTGGAGATATCAGAGAGCCATCAGATCTGCACCTGATTTGTACGCTCCCTGGTGGGCTGTAGTTACGAGGGATCCGAAGGTCGTGATATTCAAATGACTGAACTGTTTCGTCTTTCTTAGTTTTACTGGGACTCTCAGCGGTGTTGACAGTGCTGTGATCTGGCAAGGAACTCATTGAGTCGTGTTCATCAGCTGTTGCACACATTTCTTCTAACTTCCTCGAAAGACCTCGAATACGTTCCTCGGCAGCCCGAGACATATCCACACGCGTCTTCTCACTGGAGAATTCCTTGCCACGAATTGGACTGAGTGATGTTTCATCTGTGAACTTAGAATTTTTTAGATTCCACCTTGTGTCTATGGAGTTTATACCTTCCTGATTAGTGAAGAAAATCCTTTTTCTCTCACTGTTACTCAGGTGACTAGTAGCACTCTTAAATTCGGGGTTCCAAATGTGGTTTCTGTTTGCATCTTTCGTTACTACCTTTGGCTGTTCCGCTTTTGGTGTCAGTTGAAAAGGAAACCATACAGAACTTAATTCCGCCTTACTCTTGGCTCTCACTGAACGATCGCAATAGCTAAAAAATCCATTACTCTCTGTTGCTCTAATCGAGTTCAAATATGGCGGCACCGGAACAAACCAATCGGGATGGTAGTACTGGTGGTAGTAATTGTTCTTTAAATGATCTCGTTTTGCTTCGTTTCCCGCTGGACTTGAATCGTTTTGTTTCCGAACGTGCTTGGTAAAAAGCTCTTTCATAGTGGCTTCACCTTGATCTGTTTTGCTTTCATCCGATTTCTGAGGAATTTCCCGGTCCCAGAGAATATATCGGGAAGGTTTATTGTCACCATCAGCTGGACTGCGAACATACTCTGAGCTTTCGCTTGTCCTCTTCAACGTATCTAAAGATGGAGAGTTTTCAAGAACAAGAACATTGCCTTTTTTAGTTATAGAGGGGCTTTGTTCTTCATTGTCATCAGGGCGTCTTACAGAATCGTGTAAGTGGTCGGGACTTGTACTAACTTTTCCAGCCTTCCACATTGCTTCTGAAGTTTTTGAAATCTGCGAGTTTTCAAGAACAAAGACGTTGTCTTTAACAACGGAGGTTTTCTGTTCTTCATGATCCCACTTGCCTACTGAATGGCAAAAACGCTTTGAACTTTGGCTTATAAGAGTCTCAGTTTCACTTAGCCTCCGCTTTTTGGCATTTGACAAGTGTGATTTGTCGACAACGTGGAAACCTTGTTTGGGATCAACCAGCACTTGTTCTCTTTCACCCTCCATTGTTTTTCTTTTCATTAACTCAAAATCGTTTTCTGAAAAGTGAAGATTAAGCGGATGGATCCCACAGCGCTCTCCTTTCTTCCCTTTTTGGGCAAATAATAGATCGGGAACAGTGGGGCGTTCCGCGCTTGGAAAAACGTAATTGGTAAAAGATGCATTTGGATGCAGGGAGAACCCATGTTTATTCGGACTTGATGCAGGTAGTTCTCTCAGTTCGTTATTTTCTGAAATCCGTCGTTCAGGGCTGAATCTAAATACATTTTCTCTTTTTTGACGCTCCTCTTTCGTTAAAACTGGTGTCACATAGTTGTCTTGTGGTGAAATTGATGCTTGAAATTTGGACGCGGGAATAAAAAGTTGACCATAAGGATTCCCCGCTCCTCGAAGTAGTAACGGTGGGAAAACCCACATATGGCGAGGCAAAAATTCATTTCTTGTAACCTGCTTTGTTACAGTATTTTTGCGGTCAGCGTCAAGCATCTGTTCTTTTCTCGCATCCCTTTCGTCCTGCGCAGCACTAGCCAGTGTGCCTTCACCAGAAATGTCATGTAAACGCCCTGATGTGTCTTGACATTTATCCTCCAGAATGGCGTCTTCCGAGAAAGGAGTTTCATTGTTCACATCTGAATAAAATAAGATAACTACTTTTAGAATGAGACAAGAATGGACTAATGTTAAAAAAACACGGAAGGAAATGCTAATCAGCTAACACGTAAGGATCAGGCATGCTTAACCAGAGCACTTAAAACTGCCAATAAAAGAATGATTTTTTTGTCACATATTTGTTAGCAAAATTAAAAAATTAGGCATCGAACACTAAAATTGCCTCTCAAAACTACTGTTTTGGATCTTAACACTGTAGAATTTCATCCGATTACTCAAAAGTATAAAAGCATATTCACATTGATTTCGGTTGAACCCTTAAGGTGATTATTCAAATGCATGCCTTTGTTGTCATTCATTTTACTATTAAATATTACAAATAAATCAACATTCCACAAATGTAAAAAGACAGCCCTGTAGAGTTCAGCAGTGCCATATGTATGTGTCGAGACCGAATAAGCCCAACCCAAAACTTAACTACTGTAGTATAGCAACGAACAGAGGTTTACTTCAGGACTTAGCAGTCTCGTATCAGCGCAAAATGTTGTTAGTCATACCCACTAGTACAGTTATCAATAAATAGCACTTACTGATCCCTGAGATCTTCATTAAACATGACGCGGCATGTCTCAAGTATAACGGAATCATAAAGTTATTGACAAAAACATCCACCCGAAGACCTTGTGCTAGAAAACCAGTTTTGGTGGTGAAATTAACAAACAACACAACTCATGCAAAAGATTTGAAAGCCAAATCAGTTAAGGCTCATCAACTCACCTATTCCTCAACTTTTACCGAGCACAAAGTGTAATAGACATGCATACATGAGTTGGCATCGTTCTAAAAAAACTTCGGACAAAACAGTTTCACCCTTAAGCCGATTATGCCGTGAATTTTGCCTGAAAGTATTTGATGTTTTGACGAATTTTATCACACTGGTTTCGAGAAAAAAGGTTTCAATTGGATTTGAAACTGTCTGGTCGATGTATGAGCCTAACAAATTTTTACTAATGAAAGGCTATTTGGCTTTATTAATGTTGCCTAATACGCGTTTTCCATCTAAACAAAGCGCTGTTCAGGTTGTTGTCGATGAAACCAGCTGTGGACAGAGTTGACGCTAGGTTTTCGTGTCCTACGTACCAATTTTCGTGACCAGTTTTAGTGTTAGTTTGCCCCTTTTGACCCTAAATGAACTAAAATCTTGTGTTGCCAGATAACACCTTGAAAAACAAGGTCGCAAAGAGGGATTATCTACGACCGCCCGTTTTTTTCTTTGTTCAGAAAACACGCGAATGTCTAGCATTTTAAAAATTCTTTTAGCAGCGTCAAGGAATAATTTTTCGGAATAAACTGTCGCTTAAAATATGGTCGCACGTAACGATTTTGCAAAGTTTATTAATTTGAAATTGTCCGTAGATTTTAAACACTTTAATCAATTGTTTTTAATTGCAGTTCAAAATTGTAATTGAATGGCGAGTTCAATACCGTCATAAGTTCCGGTTTGGGTCTTAGTAGCGAAACGAAAATTACTCTACTTTAGTATAAATTACAGTTTTCGACCAAGACAAAGGCTGTGTGGTTTCCGGCCCGATTTTTCTCGTTTTGAACTCTTTGAAAACTCGTGTTATATCCGTGAGCAAACAAAACAAGCTTGGAGATGTCAATAGCAATTTCCATTAGCTTTTTTATGTAACTAACTTTACTTCACATTTGAATATGAAAGCCCATTGAAAAGAACTATTAAGTTTCGTTTGTCAATTAACTTGAAGAAAGGTTTTCCAATTTGCACTTTTGTCCTGCTCATTTACAAAAGCTTACAATCCATCGCCGGACCCGACCAAAACGAAATATCTCCAGAGCAGAAGGTTCTTAAATTTCCCTTTAAACTGCCTCACGAGTTACATAGCGCGAATCAAAACAGAAAATTTCCGTGACGAGTGACTTATATCCAACAGAATATAACCCCTGGGGTGGTGCGTCTCCGTTGTGTTCTTTGGCAAGCGCTCGCCCTTTGTTTTCTGGTCACAGAACAAAAAGGGATCGTGTTAGCACAACCTGTTAATAACTTTTGGTACCGCATTATGGCTGATTCTAATTTATTTCCACACCGTTCCTAGAAACAAATACCAGAAAAGATACAACGCTGTTACGATAGTGCTTTGGGAGATTCTGTCGGAAGAAACTTGAATATTTGCAATTGAAAAATCTACGTCTGATATGTATACATTAAATCGAGACAGTCGAGGAAAATATACTAAACGCTATTGTTCGAGTTCAGTTTTTCGTGACCTCTATGCCCTCAAGGAAAAATATGAACTCAGCATAAATATTTTCTGGAATACTTTCCGCTGGGTAATAGCATCGTCAAAAGAAATGTTTTAACGATTGAATAATCGCTGCGCAAATATTCCTCGTTGTGATTACAGAAAGTAGATCGGATAAACCAAACTCATAACGGTACGAATAGCTAAAGATATGACTGTTTATATACATGTGCAAGCAATGAACAGTCGACCAAACGTAATGTCTAATTACTAAGTAAGAAAATCAGGAAAGCGTATCTCTTTAACCTACCTGATTTTGCGGTGTTTGCATCTTCACTTTGACCGTCTCGAAGCTTCGCCTTTTTCACGAGAAAGGATTTAGGCATGTTGTCTTTTTTACTAACCACAAAATCAAAGAACTACAGAACGTTCCCGACTTTTTAGTCGAAGATGAAACTTTGGTGTGCTCTCTTAACACGCGAGTACCCAAAACACGTGCGTCGCAGATCAACTGGTCTAAACCATTGGGGACCGTTAGAGGTGTGATGCGAATTTATAGGTGATTCGTTTTGGCTAGCGTTCATTGGATGATGTGATACCGGATTACGACCAATTACCCCGATATCATAGCAGCGTTTGATTACGTCTTTGTTCGCACTCATGTAGAACAATAGCACAAGAAGTCAACAAACACAATACACAATGGACGTCTCTTGGAGAGGCTTTTATATTGGTGTTGTCATTTAATTTGGCAGTCCAATTGAGCACTTGTTAAGGCCGTAAATAGAAGTTTTATTTTGGGAAAAGTAGGCGCTTACGCTCGAGATGAAGCGAAGAAAACGTCAAAGCCGGCGTCAACTTGTTGTTTTTGTAGGAAGTATTTTACAATTCAAACGGCGTTTACTGTTCGCTGACGGTGGTTCATGTGACCTACCTGCTTGATAAATTATCCTATACATTCAAAAGGGCAGCTAAAACAGGCAAAGGACTGATTTCTTTGCTATGACAACGACAGGAAACAAATTCAACTTTATTGGCGAACTTGGTGTTTTGGCAGCGCTGATAATGACGATATTTCGCAAGCTAGACGAAGGTCTTACGTCAAATCGCCCACTCGTTCAACCGAGCAAGATTCTCTTATTTAAAAATATTTCTGATATAGGACCTGTTAGTATATTTAGTTTCAGCACTTAGTGGCTTATCGACAAGGTATCGCGCTAAATTTTAACTATCGCACATTATTCTATGAGCGATTTGAATATTGCAATTCTAGCTGTGTTTTGGCAGACGGTTCGAAACTTATTTGTAATAGTTGCTACCAGGGTTTTTAAAATTTATCTGGAAGTATCGATTGCAGTCTGACGAGAAAAAGCTATAAACGAGAATTAAATTTCAAGAAATGGTTTCAATTGAGAGAGTTTGAACTGCTGGCGAACCAATATTTGCCAGACCTAAAAATTAAACAAGTAAAACCAAACTTTTCGTCGGAGTTTATAAATAAATACACTCAATATAAAAGATTGTTTAACAAGTAAAAATATAAATTTAGAAACCAACGTTAGTTTAATTATTCAGGATCAATAAAATTTCTAAGCTTCATAAGTTATATTCAAATTGATTAATGTATACAATTGCCTAAGTTGATTTTCCCTCTAAGTCGGCAAGGAACAATCGCATATGAAAAGTTTCCTGGCGGGCGGAAGCAACCAAAGGGGTTCAGTTAGAGTGTTTCAACCCTAACAAGGCTGTGGTGATTTTCATGAGAAAAAAAAGACTGCATGTTAAAGGACTATTTGTACAGCCCAATCGTAAATACCTTTCAGTAAACTCAATCAACTTTTGCACTTATGCAGTAAACGGTGAATAGAAGTTTATTGGAAAATATCTCCGGAAAGAATACCTCGGGGCTTAAAGTTATCGGAAGTAATATTTGTAAGCGTTTTTTCATATTATTTTTGTTTCTTTGTCAGAATTAAAATCTACACAATGTGTTAATGACGTGAAATATTAGAGTAGTTTTTATAAGCAAACGCTACTCTAGGCGGGAGGTATATTTTACATTTTAGAGCAGCGATTGGCTTCTGGTAAAACATTTTACTCACCAAAATTTTCCCACATCAAATAGCAAACTTCTGAAAAAAGTTAATCTTTCAAATGACAAAATGTTCAGCAGCGTCACTGACTGAAAACATGAGCCAAAAAACGTCTTTCCTTCCATCGTTTAGATCCCTAAATGATAAAATGATAAATGTACTTCGATGGTGGAGTACGCCCTTGGGCTGTTTATATCGATGAACTTTGCTATATTTGGGTGATTGTTGTACATAACGTGTTTTTCTACAAGACTGCGCGTTCGACTTACCGTATCCCGCAAGATACGAGTAAAAAAATCTTTCATTGTTTGTAAGACACAAAATCTGATAAAACTTGCTACAAAGTAACATATAAAGAGTGAACTTTGTTTTTCTGGTTACATCAAATTCCACGTGCGAGAAGTATGCTTTTTAGGGTAATTCAATTCGGCAGGTTTCAGTCCGGAAAACGCCCAACCCAACGTATTTAGTGTTAATATAACGCCGAGGAAAAGACACGAAAGGAAATTTAGTATCTACCGGTTACACCTCGGGATTGTGGGGGCCAATCTTTCATTGTATTGTGAAAGTTTTATTAAAAGAGTACTTTCCTATAATATAGCCGTAATGAAATCTTAAGTTACATTAGAAAATTGTACTGACGCATGCAAGAGTTAACGTGCTTCCTTGTTATCATTTGTAAGGAGACACCTGCTCAGTAATACTAGCAGAAATCTTTTATTATAATCCCATACACAGGCTAGATTTTGTTGAGTTCAAAGGTCACATAAGACTCTGCGTTTTAAGATGCGTTGTCGGAAGAAATGGAAAACGCCTTTTCGAAAGCCGACGGAGAAGCTAAATAGACTAGAAAAAGTTTCAAGAGAGGATTTAAACCAGTTGAAGATGGTAAAAAAAAAAAAAAAAACGTTTTCAAGAAAGTTCTCGGAGTTCCTAAAGTGAAATAACCCAGAACGTTCAGTTGCAGTATAAGGTTTTTGATTAACGAAACACCAGTGAAGCACTCGCCGAATTACAGCGCCGCCATGTTAAAATATGGCGGAGTGTCAAGGTCTCAGAAGTAACTGGAAATTCTTTGGAAATAAAAGAACGCGTTCATTTATTGAACGAAGATGCAGAAGAATTGCAGAGGTTATTTTTCCGCTAAGACTTAAAGATTCCACGAGATGAAGAAAATGATCAGTTCAATGCGGTGCATCATCGCGTCGTGCATCTTCTGACATTCAGAATTCCAAGCAAAGTCCTACTATTTACATCCTACTCCCGGTCCACAAAAAGGAGTTCCTCAGGTCCTTCACTAAATAAATTCAAAATTTCACGAGAGGCTGAAAGCTTGGAATTTCCGATCATTTTCCTAAAGAAGAGGAAGAAATCACGAAACAGCAATATCTTGACTACAATCCGCAAACAACAGAAACGTGTCCTGTACCGCCTGTTTTAAAGTGGAAAAATCTATCATAGATAGGTCGCTTTCCGGCCTTGTACCCTGGACTTAAAATGGAGGTTTAAATTAGCTTTAAATGTACTTTCGCTGATATTAATCAATCCTTCATTTCGCCGCTAACACGGCCGTATGCTGTATATCTACCGTGGTTAAATTGCCAAAGAAACGATTTAAGGTATTGAACCTTTGATAGTCACATTGCCCGTTAATTTGCACTCAATTTTTGTCCCATTTCATTTTTCGTTCGTTTTTCGATTTTTTACCTTTTGCTTTGTATTATTTTCAAACGGTTTCCATCAAATGCAGATGAGAAAACAATTTCGTTTGATTTGTAATGGCATTTTTCTTCCCGTTAATATTAAAGTTGGTGGTTTAATCGTACGTAATCAATGTTTTTTTTAAACTTTTCCTGCTAGAGTTGGAAGTTGGAAGTTTTTTAAGTGTATCAGGGTTAAATAAAATGGAGTAAGGTGAAAAACGCAGGCACCATAAGACACCTCTACATGTATTAGTAACAAGGGTGAACCGGGACAAAGCAAACGGTGAAAAATTCGTCCGCCATGATGTTTAGAAGCATAATGCTCGAGCTTGTAGTGTATCTAAGTTTGTATCTGCGTTGAAGATGACAAATGAGAACACGACAGTAAACATCTACCAGAGACATTTTGAATAAAAGCGACCTTCAGCATTAGTTATAGACCGCAGACCGATTTAACGCGGCGCCTAGCCTAAAGGCTAGGCCAGCGGGCAACAATTACAGTCTATGGACAAAACTCCTAACTGTGACCGTTTAAATAAACGACTCGGACAGATGCTTTGTTAAAGGGGGTTTTGTCGATTTTTTTTAACAAAGGATAAAGAGCTGAGAATAAAGAGAAAAAGAGGAACTTTCACAACCAGACTTTTTTGAACTCCAGACTTCGTCGTTCGCAACAATAGTGAGAAAAGAAGTTTAAGAAGGATTGCGCTATTGCAGACATTGGCAATGCTTCAAAGACGCTCTCAGTTGACCAAACTATCTGCTCTGAATTCCTTCTTTACAAACTCTTTTTCTTCTGTTGTCCACAGCATTTCGCAGAAATATTTTTAATAAACCTTATACCATTACCCTCCTCTGATACCATTTTAATCACCTTTTATCAGTATAAAAATTAAATTAAGCAAACGAAAATTGAAAACTTTAAAAAAGGCAACATAACTGTATAAGTTCTGCTTTTTGCATCGTAATGCAGTGTTGTTGAGTAAAACCGTCACAGGTTTCTAAATTTGCTACAATGAAACTTAATTTCCGATCACGTATTTGCCACTTCAGCGACCCCCACCTAATTTCGGAAGTAGTTACTGAAGTGAATACGCAAAAAGAGCTTACGATGAAGAGATTTAAAGATAAGTTGCAGTATTAACCACCAAGTATTTATAATTTCTTACACGAGTTGCATCTATTGTTGAAAGTTAAAAATACAAGACAAAAAAACCCCAATCATTAATGACCAATCGCTAATTATTATGTCACCAATATGACGTCACTTCAGTGTAGTCATGACCTTGCGAACTAAGACTGGAGACGAGCTTAAATTTGACTTGTCATCGTCATGTTAATGTTTGAAAGAGCTTCGATTTGTAACACTTCATCACTAAATTGTCCATAGAGTACCAAAAATAATACTGGTATAGCTTTCATTTGAACGAGTTAAATCAAGGAGCGTATACTTTGCATTAGTAAGATGTAAACAACATCTTAGGAAATCCTGAGTCCAAATCACGGAGCCACTCCCAAACGGTTATGCACTTAAACTACTTCACGCACTTAAACTTCTTTCCTTGATATTATTAACGATCAAAACCACAAGACTGTATATTGCGAGTACATTGAGCTTGGCGTGACAGTACGCACAACTGAGTGAACTGACTTAGTTGACTCTGTCTCTTTTATTAATACATTACAGACACAGTAAATCAAGAGTTACAGGCATATTTAAAACAGTTTAGAAGACAAAAACACTG